GATACCAGTCCTCAGGTTTGGTTTGGGACATCTCTGCTTCTTTCACTGCCCCCAAGTGTAGTATCACAGTACAGTATCACATATGCTGGTGATAGAAGCCCCATAATAAGGACCTTCTAATAAATATCCCCCTTCCCCACCTTTTTTAAAAAACTGACTTTAAATGTGACATGTATTAATACAACTATGGTTTATGTACTCTGTGTGCTGTGTTCCGCTTTTCTGGGTGAAAAATTAACCTTGCAAAATACGTCTTACTGATGGTAATTGGCAAAATTTAATAAATCATGAAGTTGGAAATATTAGTTGGTTTTTTTTGCCTGGAACTTATTTTTAAGATCTAACACCAGCTGGCAAGTTATGTACTTTCCAAATATTATTTAAAACCAATTTTTTTCTATTACATTACACAAGTAGACAGTAATATTTGGAGTTGGAAACTCCAATTTGATAGTAAAGTAAGACAGAGCCTTCCAGTTAAAAGCTATACAAACTGGACTTAAGCCACAGTTGTGTTTGTGGAGTGTAAAGAAAATATGATCTTGTTTTTGCAGTGTTTTAGAAGGTAGCTTGGGGCAGTTACAAATTGTTTATTAATTGAACACAAGCCAACATCAGTTAAGGTACACTGAGAGCGTTTAAAGTTAGTCTGGTTTAAATATTATCTATCCTGCCTGATCACCTAAATGATGCATGAGAAACAGTAAAAAGCACCCGCAGCAAACAACAGCAGTGCAGCAAATATGTAGCTACATCAAATAACAAGGCAGCTACATTTCTAATATGCCATTTTTTCCAGCTGTTCCATACCCATATCATACTGAGGTTCATGTGTTTTGATCATCTTAGAAGAGGCTTGTGCTCATGCTGAAAAGGGTGATATATGGCCCTGTTCAGAAGAACAGAGCACACTACTTTGCCCCTAACCAGTTGTCTATGTTATTACATTCTGACTGGCAGAGAACTTCAACAACAGGAAGTGTCTCAGCTGAAGCGGGAGACCTGTCATCTTAAAAAAGGAAAGAAAGAATAAGGAGATGGCAATGCATTTTATGAAAAAATAACAGGAAGCTAATACAACAGCTATGTTTGTCAAATCCATGTTTGCTTTGTTGCATGCCTACTAGACCTCCATTCCAGTTGTCCAGTCATGCCCAGGCCAATAGCTGGCCAGCTGGCCTGAGTACAGGACAGTTCCTGGTGCCAGTAGAAAGACAGCATTAGTAGTTATATTCAGTGCTCTTGTTCACTTCTTAGTTTGGATGTATACAGTATGCTGTTTGTCTTGATGTCTCAACTATTCCTGCTCTGGAAGCTCTGAGTAGTGCTGCTGCTGACTTCTCCTTTGGATTCTGCAAAATGAAACTTTTCACTGGACTAGCTTAGGGTAAGCTGTGTCCATAAAGGGAAAAATAAAAGAGACCAGTGAAATAAAAAGCAAATGTAAGCAAAACACTGCTTGCTGTACAAAAAATATTACCTGCTCTCGGGCACATTTTCACGAGGCCTCCTTTCTCTCTTTCCTTTTCCTATTCTGCTTCTCTCTATTGATGACTGTTCCCTTGGGGTCAAGCTCAGTTCAATATAGTAAAAGATCTATTTATCAATAATGCACAAATCCTGATAGTCTGTTTCACATGAAATGCTGCCTATGTCTCTCGTTCGTTGCACTACTTTCCAACACTGCCTCTGAAAACGTTTTACTCTGCTCACTCTTCTCAGCTGATCAAGGTTCAAAATTACTTTATTGAAAAAACATGAAATAAGAGAAGAGAAATTATACACATTTCTCATCCCACCTTCCATTAACTCTCACTTCTATCTTCCATCTGCATGTATATCTACATTTTTTGACTTTGTTTACATCTACTTGAATGTTTCATGCTGATGGTTTTTTCCTCTCTCGTCTCTAGCTGCCTATTTCTAAACAGGGAAGATCTCTGACTTCATAGACCACAGAGCTATGTGTCAGCTCTCCGTACTCCTTATCATCTTCCTACAACCTCAATACTAAAGATCAGAAATGCATAAACACAAAGCTCAGTGTGTTTAGGTTAGCACTGTTCAAATTAGTCTGTAAGAATTCTCCTGCTTTTGACTGTAATCATAATTTTTCTTCATTGATCCACCTAACCGATTTAGCATTTAAATAAAACAATGGTGTCTGTTTAGTAAACCATCGCCTAACTATAAGTCAGGGTAAATTGCCCTCTGTCTTCTTATCTGTCAAAATGACAGATGGCCTTCAGATTTTTCTGTCATTATTAGAAATAATTCCATCAATGATGGAAAATATTAGGATAACATAACAACTGTACCCTATAAATATCATCTCTCCACTATGCTAACTGTTATAGGGACAGAGTTTGTTTGCTGTTACATTACACGATCAGTCACCACATCAGAATCACAGAATCAAAATTGTCTTTAATGGCCAAGTATGTTTGAACATACTGGAATTTGACCCTGGTACAGAGGCTCTCAATGTGTTGTAAGAAAACTGGAAATAGAAAATAACAATGAGAATAAAAAAATGAAAAAATAAAACAATACAAAAAGAAAAATAAACAGTGTGTATATTCAAATAGGAAATACGTGCAATCGAAAATAGAGAAAGAATACACACACGAGCAGATCTGTTTCCTAATTAGAAAATCTTACTGACGTCAGACTTGGCAAGTCCGCCAGCATACTAGCAATCTGCCAAATGTTCAGGCTCACATGTCTCTTAAAGGGGATGTGAGGTTACACGCTGATTGGATAATTGCATGCTATGCCCAAAACACACCCCTGCTTTATTGAGGAGATCAAGTACAGCCCTTTGCTAATTGCACAGGTGCTTGAACCGTTTTTAGTCATCGTCAAATTACTGAAATGAGCATGGACACACCCAAACATCACTTGTGCCAATACATCTTGTTGTGGTTTTCCTGGTGAAGCTAAGCTATTGTCAACCTCATTTCCAGCCACAGAAGACAGCTGATTATAAAAATCATGTACCACCTGTCAGCACCAAATGCCAGATAGTTTGTCATAAAAATAGCGTAGCATTTAGCACAGCTAAAAGGAGAGTGAAATTATCATTCAGACATATACATAAATACAACAGCTACTACTACTACTCCTAATAAAAACAATAAATAGCTCTGCATGTTACTTTTAAAGCTGTTTTCTATAACAATTTACCCTGCTAAATCAGTGGCTACAGCACTGATAACTACATTAATAAACACTGTACACTGATCCCACCTTTTCTTGCTAGATACCTCAACTCAGCATAATGGCTGCTAGTACAGATCCAACACAGTTCTTTATAGCATGTACATTTTTGGTTTTCAATGTAAAATATCTACTTTGTAGTGTAAGGAATTGGATGGTTATTATTGTCTATTTGGAGCATATCATGAACTAAAGATAATGATGAGTGAAGACATTCACATATCCACATGCTCTTTAGTCTTCTGCAGTTTTTAATGATATAGTTTTAGGAGATTTGTGAAATGATAAGATTGAGAAACACTATTTAATGGTGAATCACATCTGGCCAGTATCTTACAGTATTTAATTATGTCATTGCTGCCACCACTGCTGATTAGTTTTATCACATGTAATATGATTGGTGCACCAGTGCTGATGGACAGCACTGATGCATCATTGGTGCACTGAAAGAGAGGAAATACAACAGTAAAGTATTAGACAGGTTTCAATCTACTGACTCAGTCAAAGCATGTCTCACTTTTAACGTCTTATTCTTTTTCAGTGATGGAGTTTGACCTGAGAAATGTAATGAGGTAGAAATTTTGAAGTTTTAGTATATTACTTGTGTGGTGTAGAACAAAATTATCTAAGTAGAGATACTGATTGCAAACCAATGATGGTATGATGATGTCATGGGGTAGGACTGAATAAGTCTGACTTCTTCTACTCCGTTCAAGCACGTACTAGGTATAAGCAAATTGATAATGGATTAGCATTTGTTGGATATGTGTAAAATTATGTGTGTTGACATGTCGACTATCTTTACTTGCTTGAAAGAATAAATCAATCAATCAATCAATCAAAGTTACTGTATTCTAATTTGCTGTGTCTTCTTTCTTGAATCTTTCATACTAACATTTCATTTCCTCTGTTAGAAAAGGACTTCTATGACTTCTCCACCAAACCTTTTACAATGAGAACTGAGTTTTCTTTTCAAAACCCCATGGGGATGTGCCTCGTGAATTTCATCTCTTTTTTGACTTCTGACATAAGTTAGAATTGGGATTTCTGATTCTGGCCAATGCTAATTAGAGGCAGATTCCCCTGCCAATGTGCCCAGTAGCTACAGACACTAAGAAAACTAGAGAGTTGAAGGATGGTGAGGTATTGTTCTCTTAGGGACAGGAAGGGTCTGAATGATATTTAAATAAGTCGTGTTCCAATCTGATGTCTGGGACAAAAACAGCACACACACACACAGAGGGCGGTACAAATGCACACACACACACAGAGCAGAAATGCCAGGGGCTTGAATGCATTAGTGTCTTCTTTATACTAATTATCCAGCTCACCCTACTTATCTGTCACATTTTAAGACAACATTAAAAATGTGAAGATTAAAAAGAAGACAGAGGGTTGTTAAAAGTCACAAAGTGTGGATGCGTGAAAGCTCATTATCCAACCAATGTAGATGTGATTTTAAAGCACCAATCCCATACAATATTGGAAGAATGATCTATGCTGTAATAAAACCAAGAGGCACAAATTCCACTCAACAGTTAAAGTGCACTAAAATCATGGAACTTTGGTCCAGCAGACAAGATGCAGTAGGAATTTACAGCTACCTGTACATACAGAATACCAATTAGCAAACCAATGTAGTCAAAGGCTGCATGCATCTAAACAGAGGGCCTGAAATAGATAAAACATGCACACAGCTGGAGTTTGTCTTTGTTGTGCACTGAGCATCTGGCTGCAAAAGCGCACGTAAAACTATGTTTCTTTATCTGAGTGTGGTCTACCTGAGTGAACGTCCAAGTGAGCTTCATGTGCTTGGTAGCTGCGTAGCTGCACTCCAGAAGTCTGGGTCTGCTATTCACATCCACCAGACACTTGTTATCATCATCATCAATGGTTGGACTCAGCACTCCCAGGTGAATCTGCTGGGAGCTTGTGTAGTATATGTGCTGCTGGGAAACAAAGACAGGGACTTAGGTGAGAGGACTTTCCACCCAGGTTTAATAATGACTAATAAGGTATTTTTCCATTTAGCTTTTGTAACAGTGAATCCTCTTTAGCTGTGGAATATCACCATGACAAGCAGTCTGCTCTTGTCATCTTAAAAATAAATTGAGGTGTGTTTTCTGGGGATCTTTTTAACAGAGCAGCTGTAAATTGAATCTCGTAGTCTTATTTGTATGCAAATGAATTTCAGCAACATCAAAGAGTCAAAAGTAGAACTATTTCTGAGTACTTAATCTTAGAATCAATGTAGATGTATTATTTTCATATTCCTGAAACTTTACACAAACTTTATACATATCTCAGTAGACTTAATTCCATTTTCAACTTGCAGCTTGACATCTTTTCATTTATACTATACAATATTTTTTCCAGTCTCTAAGTGTCAGCCCTGTGATAGACTGGCAACCTGTCCAGGGTGAACCCTGCATATCGTCCAATGTCAGCTGGGATTGGCTCTAGTTTCCCCACTACCCTGTTCAGGATAAGTGGTATAGATAACGAATGGATGAATGGAATAATTTTTCCATTTTCCATTCTTATATTTTTATGCTTGTCATTAGTGACATATGTAACAATGATACAGACTGTAAACTGCAAACATGACCAGTACTTTACATTTGTTTTCATGCTTTGAATCATAATTTGCACCTTGCTCCTACTTTTTTATGTTCTAGTTTTTAAGATTCCTTTTATATAAACCTTTATTCCTCTTTATTTTTGTGTAGCATACAGTATATTTTATTTTGCTATGTAGTTATCTACAGTACATTTATACTATGCATTATTTATTTCCATAGCACCGCTGAGACCAAGATTTCTCTTTAATGAGAGCTCTAAAAACCAAACAAACATACAGTCATACACCCAACCAACATATAAAGTCAGACAACTAACCATCCAGAAATAAATAGACAATCATAAAACCATTATAAGGATCACAAATCAAACTGGATAACGAAGCTTTAAAATCTCCACATGAATAAAATGTTTGAGAACTGTTTGTAGGTTATTCCTGAGACTAGGCTGGTGTACATTAGACACTGTATTTAAGGTTAAATATTAGATAATATAAAATGTTGCAAAATTTAAATAAATTAAGGTTGAACACTAGAGCTTTCTAGATGAATATCAAAAGATTATTTTTCCTTCTGGTCATTAGGAGTTTATCCACTTTACATTACAACAACTGCTAAGGTTCATGGTGTGTAAAAGTCGCCAACGTTCTGTTGATTCCATAGCTGAAGCACTCCAAACTTCCACTGGCATTAATGTAAGCACAAAAACTGTGCGGTGAGAGCTTCGTGGATTAGCTTTCCATGCCTGAGCAGCTGCATGCAAGCCTCACATTACCAAGTCCAATGCCAACCGTTGAATGCAGTGGTGTAAAGCACATTGGACTGTGAAGCAGTGGAAACATGTTCTGTGGAGAGCCAAATCATGCTTGTCTGTTTGGTAGTCAGATGGGCGAGTCTGGGATTGGTGGATGCCGGGAAAACATTACCTACCTGACTGCATTGTTCCAACTGTGAAGGTTGGTGGAGGAGGGATAATGGTTTGGGGCTGCTTTTCAGGGTTTGGTCTATGCCCCTTACTTCTATTGAAGGGCAGTCTTAATGTTTCAGCATACCAAGGCATTTTGGACAACACTAACTTTCTGGAAACAGTTTGGGGAAGGCCCTTTTTCTATTCCAGCATGACTGTGCCCCAGTGCACAAAGCAAGGGCCATAGAGACATGGTTGGATGAGTTCAGTGTGGAAGAACTTGACTGGCCCACACAGAGCCCCGACCACAACCTCATTGAACACCTATGGGATGAACAGGAATGGAGATTGCGAGCCAGGCCTTCTTGTCCAACGTCAGTGTCTGACCTCATAAATACTCTACAGAATGAATGGGCACAAATTCCCACAGAAACACTCCAAGAACAGCGGAAGCTGTTATAGCTGCAAAGGAGGGGACCGACTCCATATTCAGAATCAAAATCAGAATCTGCTTTATTAGCCAGGTGTGTTGGACACACAAGGAATGTGACTCTGGTACATCGGCTCTCAATGTACATGTACATATCCTCATGCAAAGGGCAAGTAAACAGTAAACCAGCATAAGGCTGTGTAGTGTAACAAAATAAACAGTATTAACAGGCAGCAAACAGTGCAAACAATGCAAAATAAACAGTATAAAGAGGCAGTAAACAATGCAGAGAGACAAAAGAATGCTCATTGTGAAAAGAGAGAAATAGGAATAAAAATAGAGTACTTAAAAATAGAGACCTGTATGGATCCATATAATCTTTAGAATGCATATTTACAGGTACTGTAAAAGTCTGTGTATATGAATGCAATGTCATTAAAGTCCCCATTGGTGTAATGGTCAGGTGTCCCAATACTTTTGTCCACATAGGACATTTTAACATTGTTGTTGTTGGAGTTTTACTGCTTGAGTGAAAATGGAGCAGTTACTATACAGCATGTTTGTAGTCAAGCAAATGCATTGTAATCAGTAAACATACTGTCAGTTACACACCAAAATCTAACTAAAGTTCCATCAGAGCAAATAAGGCTAGCTTGTAAACCTATGAATGTATTGAATCGAATGAATGAAGGGTTTGTTTTGCTGCATATGAATTCACCTTTTCATCTGTAACAGGAAAAGTAAATTGTCTCTTTGTTTAAAAGTTATACAATCCTGCTTTAATGTAAGGATGAAAAAGAATAATGTTATACTATAAACATAATGGGCCAAGATTAGACCCTTGTTGCACCCCATTACTGAAGGCATGAGTGCTTCCTTTAACACCATCTGTTAAAATAGCTTTTTAACTACATCAAATCTCTTGGGCACAAAACATTTTCAGTGATGAAGAGAATTCTCTGCTCTCCTCAACAAAATATAAAGAACCAAATCTGGGACAGCAGGTCCTTCTGCATTCGATAATAATACACCTTCACTGTAGTGAATTTTCATAGTGGGGTGGGACAATAACACCAGAGAATACCGTATGTAGGCTATTTTTTGAATGCTGAATGTATTTTCTTTGATCTCGCCTACAAAAATTCCCAGGTCTCTGAAAAACGTGCTCACTTTTAATGTGGAGAGGAGTAAACAGGCTACCTGTTACTGAGCTATTTGAAAAAAAAAAACAGAACGGAAGAAGAAAATAAGGAGGAACTATTTAGTTGCAAGAAATGAAGGTGGGAGGACAAGTCAAAAAAGAGATGGAAAAGGACATCCTGGCTAAATATTAGCTGAAGTAATTTTACATACCTGAAAAAACAAACAAAACAAAACACAGGGACATGGTAATGAATGCAAATGTTGGCCCATTTTTTAAGTTAGCAAACATATCTGCTGAGGTAAATCAAACACACTTTAAATAGTCTGGAAATTCATGCCATTTCCCCAAGTCGGACAGAAAATAAAAAGATCACAGACAACATGACATTATTCAAGAGGAGATGAGAAGAACTGAGGTCGACATGAAATCAAAATAAGCTTAAAAAGTTGAAATCAAGGAATAACAAAAGAGTAAGCACAGAAGCAGTGCTGCTCAAAACAAATGAAAACGCTGGCCGTGTGCTCCGAGTGTCTGAGTGTGTGTTTTCACTGGGCTGTGTGGAAGCTCTGAAGGGGTAATTGACGAGAATAATGACAGTCTTGCAGGAACAGGACATTTCTAGATAGGAGTCAATATCACACTGTGAACCAGCCACTGAGCTTGTAAGCTACTATTTAAAAACACCTCAAGCCAGACAACACTGCAGATTGATGTGTGCATGCGCATGCATATGTGTGCACTGAGTATGTGCGAATGCTTCTGAGTAAGGATTTGTTTCTCAGTGTGTGCATATGGGCTAAAAAGAGCAATTAAACTTGCATCTATCAGTAGATTGATGCTATCTCCTCTCCTGTCACGGCTTCTTAAAACCTCTCATAGAAGGATTAGCACAGTGCTGTGTTAAACAGATATCCATCTCTTGTGACAGGTGTACACATTAATAAGTGTGGACATTAGAAAGCCAATAAGCCAGGCTGATTTTCTGGTGTTTACCTGCAGCAGACAACATTTCAGTCTGAGCAAAGTCTTTGGGTAGTCAAGCAAAAAGAGTTGCTGTTTAGTGATACTGTAGCTGGACAGTTAGCAGCAGCTTTATGTTCAGTTCAGAGGCCACTAGAATTTGCATTCTAATAAACAAGATATTGACATGTTTGCTATTCATAAAGGCTTCACATTAAAGAATTGCATTACTGAGATCATGATGCATGAGCATGTGTGTCAGAAAACTGTACTGATTTTGATATGGCGTGGAACATTCAGCAAGAAGGCAGTCTAAGTTAAAAGATTAAGAGGTTATCAAAACTTCCCCTGAAAAATGAGAGCCTCACTAATTTCAGCAAGTGCCCAAAAAATGTGTTTATGTACAAGAAACAAAGAGCAGTGTTTTTATGTGATTCTCAGTTTAGCTTCTTTTATTGTCATTTTGCATAGTGCTACTGACCTACAGGCAGTGCACCAAGATATGCAGTGTTGTACAATTGAAAAAGATGACTGCTAGTTCACAGGGATGTAAACACTGCAGGTTTCAAAATAATAAGTTTATATTCAGCATATGTTGTATGGGGTAGGTAACGCATTTAACATTTTTGTTAGAACTCAAGGATACACAATATGTATGAATGAGTGTTACTGAGCATAAACAGGAAGTTATTTTTAAGATAACTCCAAGAAAACTTTAATCATTTAGTTTTTTTTAACCCAAACCATGTTTTTACTGTTGCTGCCATAAATGTAATTAAACCTTAACAGCATGGTTTTAAAATGCATTTATTCTTGTAACAGTGAAGGCACAGACTAATTACATTGTCCCGCCAACAGCAGCATCAAATCAATGAGCATTGTTGTTATTTTGCCAGGTCCTGTAGCTCTCAAATTTTAGAACTTAGCAC